TTTTTTTTTTTTTTTTTTTTTTCTTGTTAGTGGTTAATTTTTATTTACTTATTTTATTAGTTCACTAGAACTTTAACTCGAATTCCAACTCGAACTTTAACTCCAAGTTCAACTCGAACTCGAACTCGAATCCGAACTCGATGGTTCGGGATTCCCTGAACCTTTTAATCAATACCCATAAATTACTAATTCTGTGGACATTGTCGACAGTTTTGATGGCAGATCTCCATTGGCGACATGACAAGCTACTACTACAATTAAACGTTCGTTCCCTTAATCATTTGCTTTGTGTTAGTTGATTCATTCGTTCTATCGTTGGTTCGTTCGTTCACTCCTCCGATAGTTCTTCCTTTAATTCGCTAATTTTCTGCTTCCCTGGTAGGGTAGGCTACCATGGCAACAGTATGACCCGCTAAAAACACCCTTAATTACAGCTTTAGGGGCCTATAATTCAAAAACGGCACGGTGAAATTTTTTTTATATTATCAAATTTTAATAAGCACGATAAGACGCAACTTTTGGCAAAGTTTGAAAAAATTCTGTACATAGGGTTAACAGCCACCTTAAAATTGTGAAAATTTAAGGTGGCTCTTAATTTTATGTACAAATTTTTTTCAAACTTTGCCAAAAGTTGCGTCTTATCGTGCTTATTAAAATTTGATAATATAAAAAAATTTCTCCGTGCCGTTTTTGAATTATAGGCCCCTAAAGCTGTAATTAAGGGTGTTTTTAGCAGGTCATACTGTTGCTATGGTAGCCTATTGTGTCATGGAAATGATAACAACGTGTTCACCAATGATTGGGCAGTTTTTTGATACCATGATTGTAGTATCAAGTGATAAAGAGTGGTCATAATGACCCATCAAAATCTAAGTGCTGGACACTATTTTGAGACAGCTTAAAGTGTTTGTCCCGTTTGTAGCCGATATAACACAAGATCTGATTGGCTAATTCTAATGCATTTTTTTTTTCCGGACAGGACCAAAAAAGCAGCCAAAGAGCTTTTAATTAGCCATCTAAGAAACTCCTTATTAACCTCGACTGATTTTGAGATTCGAAACAACAACTTGACACAAGAAAAGAAAAGAAATTTGCACTCTAAAGGTACCCTTTTTTCAAAAGTTTTCTTCAATTGAGGCGCAAGAGAAACATTTCAGAAAACATTTTCGCACAGAGCTCAGTCACATTCCGGTGACTCGAACTTTAACGGGAAAGCTGGTTGAGAAGAAATTTAGCCTAAGTATATTTAATGGCCTCATTTGCGAACAAGGGTCTTTGCAGCTGCTAGAATAATGTGTTATGAACGTTAAAACAAAAACATATCTTAAAGTGGAAGTATTAATTTGAATTCTTTCAAAATGTATGTATTGTACCGTTGACAAGAGACACGTTTTAAAAAATTAACACCAAAAGATATTTTGCTTCTTTAAAATTATTGGTGCTGCTTTTGGTAAAAGCCCAGTAAATGGTTAAGAGAGAATGCGACTATCATGTAGAGAGAGAGAAAAGTCAAGCTCTAAAAGAAACAAATATAATTTTTTTTTTCGAAATCTTTCTTAATAGCTTTGTGTTGATAAAAGAACTGAGATACTTTAGTGAAGGAAAATTTTAGGTGGAAACTCCTGCCTGCTGTATAAATGACTTATGTAAAAAAGCTTAAGACGAATGATTAGCGGCTAGATCACGGTAAACCAGCAATGCTAATATTAATCTTCTCTAGAAATGGACTGAAATTACTCGGCTCGGACAAATGCACGTAACAATCAAAGAGAAAAAAAAATGGAGCATTATTGTGGACAACAAGTTATACGCGTTTGGCCATCCTGTTACAAAATGTTTCGAAGTTTTGGATGGTTAACAGGGTGAAAAAGATCTGCAGCATGTTACCCACAACATTGTTGAAATATGTTGTGTTCATTGGGTGCATTACATTGCATTGCGTTGTGTTGCGTTGTGTTGCGTTGTGTTGCGTTGTGTTGCTTTGTGTTGCTTTGTGTTGCTTTGTGTTGCTTTGCGTGCGTACATAACGCCGGGCATTTACTTAGCTGCAAATACACATTATCATCATTTTAACATTTTCATATGCCAAAAATATCTCGTTTCACTGAGCTAAGAAGTTCTGTATCGTTCTTAGACATTGCGAATCGACTAGCTTTACTGGTTTGAACGAAATAACGTGGGAATATAGTGAATTATCTCTCCAATATGACATTTTGAAAATTGAAACGCGCGGCTATTCAGTTTTAGTAAAAGCTTGAACATGATCCAATATCTATAAACTAGACGGCTCAATTTTACAGAGTAGGGTACTTTTAATGACACAATAGATTCATCAGGTATCTATGTTTGTCATCTTATTTTAGATCGTTTTTCAGATTTCTAATTTCACCTTCATCGATTTTAGCTTTTATGGTAAAGAACTAAATGTTATCTCAAAACGGAAAACAGTCAAATAAAATGACAAAGACTGCATTATACGAAGCTCAATCGATGTATCGATAAGATATTCCACTTCTCATGTTGTGTTCCAATACGTGCCAGTCACTTAAGTTTAGTAGAATACGTACATATCGAGTGACTTGTGCCAAAAAACAATTTAAAAATTTGAGAGACCTTTTGTTATGACTATTAGAAAAATGCCAAGACCATTAAAAATGTTAAGATGTTTTTAACAACTTTGTGTGCTGATGTAAAGGAAAATAAATAAATCTGAGACTACAAATGATGAATACCTCATTAGCTGGGTGCAGTTGAATGCTCTTTCACTCGGCACAAGATGTTGATGATATTCGGATTACTTGCAGTTTTACTCGTTCCACTCGGAGTTCCATCGCTTTCAGAAGGTAAGAAGGTGAAGGGTTCCTGCTTTGTAATATGTGAGGAGCTATTTATGAGCGACCAAAAGTAGGGCGCGAAAGGTGCAAATACTCAGTGAATTAAATTCTAGTGAATCTAGTTTCAATCCAGAGCGATTTCAATTCTAATTATTATTAAAATGTTAAAATTTTAAATGTTCAGTGTTTATGGTCGACGCATTTAGCTACAACTAGCTAGCTCGTTTTCAGGCATGCCACAAATATTGCAAATAAACATAATCAGCTTAAAGATCCCGACTGGCCGGAGGCAGACCAGTTGGCTATTTACAAGCATGACCGTGGAGTTGAACTGGGGTCTACCGAGAAACAACTCCAGCTTAATGGTCAGAGCGGGACTTGAACCCGCGTCCTCCGGATTTCAAGTCCGGCGCCCTACCCAGTCGGCCACGCTGCCTCCGTTAAAAACAAACAAACTCTCGAAACACGACACGGTACTAGAAAGGACAATATGCACATGAACACATGAATGCGTTTGATAGACGAAAAGCCAATCTATACCTTGTTATGGACCAGAAAGGGTAGGAAATAGGACATACGAATCTGAATTCACGTCTGGCTCTAGTCATTTCGGAAAAATTCCTGTTTCATTCGATCTCGTTAGGATTTGATAGAAAGCGGAACAAGAACATTACCCATGCAAGCTCCCTGCAAATTCGAGCTAAGACAGTTCAATGCGAGTTACGCGACGATTTTTTCAAGATCAAGGCCTGTCATATCAAAATGGCCGACATGGTTGATCGAATAATTTGGACGGTGTGGACAATTTGTAAAAAACCTGGAGATGTTTTTTTGAGCCTGACAACAATCAGAAAAGTATTTTAAAAAAATAAGAAAGTAATTTTACGGTTAGCTGGAATTTAGAGTCGAAAACTTCAGGTAAGCGGACTTAGGTGAGACTTCGCATGTGCTTTACAAAATGAACAGAAATGAGAAATGCAACTCAATTCTCTTCGGAGCGCCGTTTTTATGTTTAGAATCTCGCTTAATTATTGAATTATGTGTATTGAATCGTTTTGGGAGCATAAAGCCCAGTAAATTGGAAAAAAGAGCTTCCTTTTGTTGCAGTAATAGTTGCCTAAGTTAGTCCGACTATATATTTAATCCGACTATTTATTTAGCAGGTGGCTGCCATCCAAAATTCGGTTGTTTTCTGTTCTCTTGTCAGTATGTATTTGCTCATAGAACAAGGCAAATGCTTTTTCTCTAAGTAAAATTCGACCAGGAGAGTGGTTTTACTTTAATTTTGCTTCTGCAATATTTTTTTTCCTTTTCTTTTTCGCCAAATTCTATTCATTTCAGTTTTTGTAAACATTTACGACTACTTCCCATCTGGACAAACTTTCTTTTCTAGGACGTATTTGCTGGTTCCTTTAAAATGAGATATAGCAGACTATAATGCTGTAAATAATTGTGGAGATATTAAACAAAGAATACGATGTGGTTAATTTGGCGATAATTTTTGACTGGACCTCTAAGAGTTAAAATGTTCCACTTCTAACGCTGCGTCCTAAAACGCACTAGCTACTGTATTAAGCTACCTACATCAGTTGAAGTGATGTTTACAGTTCTCACGCAAGTTTGTGTGCCAATCCAAAGTGCAAGATGCTGGCGAATTTGAAGGTAAGAAGGTGAAGGACGTATTCTTTTTAAGGTATGAGGAATCAAAAGAAAGACGGAAAAAAGGGCAGGTCAAAGTATTTCCAGTGGCAGTCCAAGGCGATTTCAAAGCTCAATATTATTATTTTAAAAAACATTAAAAGCTAGCTCGTTACATTCATGCGTTCGTCGCTATTTTACATGTTGTTGCTTCCTCTTATCCCATTTACAAAGAAAATCCCGAAAGGAAAAAATAAAAAGCAGGAATAAACAGCATGAATTCTTCTGAGCCATTAGTGAAGAAGGAAGAACTCGAAGCAAAGAGCGAAATTTTTCGTTGATGGTTAAAATTTTCTTTGATTGTACAGCTGCATGTGGAAAGCGTGTCGCTACGTCGTCCCGCGTGGTAAACGGTGAAGATGCCACACCAAATTCGTGGCCGTGGCAGATTTCTCTCCGCTACAGAAATTATCCATATCACAATGCCTACGGTCACTACTGTGGAGGATCACTAATTGAGAATGACTGGGTTTTGACAGCTGCTCATTGTGTGGCCCGTAACCCAGATCCGACTGCATGGAAAGTAATTGTTGGTAAGTTTATCACAAAACCTCAGGGACGTGGATGGGCAGTTGTCTACTTTATTATCAGTTATATATTTATGAGACCTTCCTTCACTTACCTTACCTTTACAAAATGTCCGTTTTTCTCTTTCCCTTCTCCTTACACCTCCTTCCTTCCTTCCTTCCTTTTTTCCATATTTCCTTTCTTGCTAGCTACCTTCATTCTTTCCCTCCTTCCCTTCTTCCATCCTTTATTCCTTCTCTCCCTCTCCCCGTTTTCCTCCTATATCCTCGCTTGGTTGCATTTTCCTCCTCCTTTTTCCCCTTGATTCTTTACTTTTTTCGTCCTCCCCCTTCCTTCCTTCCCTCGTTCCTCCCTGCCTTCCTTGCTTTCTTTCCACTTGCCTTCTACGTTTCTGTCAGCTGGCTTTCTCGCTTCTTTGCTCCTTTGCTCGCTTACTTGCCTCGTTTCCTCCTTATTACCTTCTTTATTCATTGTTTCCTTTCTTGTTTTCTTGCATCTTTTCTTCTTTTTTTACTTGTTTGTTTGCTTGCCTCGTACCTTTTTGCTTGCTTTATTTCAATTGAGATTATTTTGTCTTTATTAATTTTTAAACGTGTTTCTTCCTTTTGTTTCTAGGTGCTCATTACAGAGAGGGTTCCCCCACCTCGGTTCAAGAAACAATCACTGTGACACAAGTTATCCCCCACAGTGACTTCGGCTGGACAACAGCGAAAAACGACGTGGCATTGTTAAAGCTTGCGAAGCCAATCGTACCAGGTGACAAGGTCAACACAGTCTGTCTTCCTGAAAGTGGCAGTGATCAGATATCGCCGGGAACAAACTGTTCTATTACTAGTAAAGTAGTAGAGACATAATTTATGTACATCTGTGTATAGATCAAAGTCTTGCCTGAAAGTGCTACTAGCCATCAAAATTGTTTTTCATTAATATAATTTATTTTCCTGATCATTACTGCGAAAACAATATCGTTGTAGCTATTTTCGTTCATTTCCTGTGAATTTTCAAAGTTTGTAAAATCAGCTTTTCCATGTTCCCGATCGAGTAATAGCAGAGAATGGGACGTGTTGGCTCTTGACGTCATTCCAGGAAGAACAATTCTTTGATTTTGAGAAGGATATACGTGAACATGAGGCGGTGTGAGTCAAAATAATCGTTGCTGGATGCAAGGAAGATGTGTTGTTGGAAGCTGTAGCAATACGGGAAACTTAAAAGAGATTATCCCTCTTTATTCAATACCGCTATCTCGCTGATACTCGACCAGAAGCGAGAAAAAGACTAAACTGAAATGGGCTAATCTGTGCGAAGAGGGAGCCATCGAAATTCTTCGATCTCTGGTTTGCCGCTATTACAAAAACCTAGAGATTTTCGTAGTCTATATATTCTTCTATAGCGTCTTGTGGAAAGCTCAACATTGCCAAGGTACTGCATAATACACAAATTTGGGATAAGCTGGTAGCCATCTGACTGTTCAACGCAAACGATCCCGCGAGTCCCAGACCAAAATATTGGAAACTAGCTGAGGAAATTATGAGGCACATTAAACGCATCGCGTTTTTGTACTCGAAATAGAGACTTTTCTAAACGAATAATAAACGAAATTTACGTCCTACAACCAGACGATTAAAATTGTTGGGGCTTCGAACTGCTGAATTGATGTATTTGTGGAGGTCGTTATCCGGCCGTGTTTCTCAAAGTTCATTGCGCGTATACAATTGTTTTGTTCTTTGAGCTTCGTCTTTGAAGAACGAAATATATCTCAATGACACCCTTAGAACGAATCAAGCATTGATAAATATATGAGGAAAATACAACTAACGATTTAGGTTCGACTCTACAGCTGCCGACGGAGACTTTTGTGCCGAAAGATTGCGTTTGTTACTTAATAACCTTCTTTTTTTTTTTTTTTCGAGGAGCAAAAAGCGTTCTATTAAGTTGGTAGGAATGAGGTCTTAATGTTTTTTACGAAATAAAAAAAGGGAATTCGCAAAAAAAAAAAAAACAGTACTTGAAACATGAGATGTAAGTCTTTGTTCCAGTTTATATTTATGTTGTCATGTTTTCAACGGTCGGAATGAAAGCAAGTCAGAAACCGTTAACAGTTTGTACTTTATGACGCACTGCTATGTTGGTCTAACAATATCTCAGTGCGTTTCTTTTAATACTCTTCTGTTGAAAATGACATTAATTACTACTGCTTTCGGGGGGACGTTACTTTCGGAAGTCTACCAAAAGAGTAATATTTCCGTGAGACGCCTGGGCTCTAGCACGCTCTTCACAGCGAGGCATCACGCGATCACTTGAACGGTCGCGAGATAGCGCGCAAGAATTAAAGTTTGCAAAAATCAAGACAAACATAGCGGCGCGACGCCTACATCGCACACTTTGTCAGAAAAAAAAACTTAGCCAGTCTCACGTTTGTACATTAATGGTACTCTTCTTCAACGGCTTGTGCTGCTAACGACAATAACGAAAAGGAAAACGCTATTCGCGTGGAATTGTGGGCTTTAATGATCAGCGGACCGCCTTCACGAGTGCGTAAGGGGCAATCTTGCAAAGTCGGGATTTTAATTTGGGCGTAGAACGCGCGCGAAGAATTCCTTATCCGTGAAGCTGATGTCTTAAAAAGTGATCCGGTGACCCTACTTTTTTAATGCAAAAAGTTATTCAACAGCAAAAGCGGAATGCATGTGCGAAATCGCAACACAAAATGGGGAGTGGAATTCCTTCAACTTGGAAATTTTCATTTTCCAAAAAATCTACTCCATATATTTTTTTTATAATTTTTCTTGGGGTTACCGGCTTAGATTTTAAGATAAATGGTAAAGGTAAAGTCTGCGTACCAGCCAAGTGGCCCATCAGGCCGGAGATTATCCCGGTTTCTGTAGCATGAAGCGACTAGGAGTATTTCTACTCCCNATACACCTGGGTGGAGAGAGGCACTGTGACAGTAAAGTGTCTTGCCCAAGAACACAACACAATGTCCCCGACCAGGGCTCGAACCCGGACCGCTCGATCCGGAGACGAGCGCACTAACCACGAGGCCACCGCGTCTCCCTAAGATAAATGCAGTTGATGATAAAAGTGGGTCAAGTTTGTTGCTATGCAACAGAACAGTGCAACCTTAATTTATGACTTAAACACAATAAAATTTACAGTGGAGAGTAGTCTTTAAAAAAATTGCACAGTCATTCAAAACAATACAGTTCCAAGCCTGAAAAATAGCACCTAGCTCTATAACGGTCTAAAAAAAACAGAGAAATGTTTTAAGCCACCTTAAAACTATTTTCAATCATTGATCTGGATAAATAGGCAGGATTGGACTACGACTACATTGCATTTTAACTTGTATTTCGGGGAAAATTAATGTTCGAATCTCAAAATGTTTTGACACTCCGAAATCTGGACGTTCCGTTATTAAATTACCAACTCTTCGTGTTCATCTTCGTAACTCTTTAAGAGCTGTAAGTTAACTTTTTAGCCATTATTAGAACCTTTATAGGACCCTACAACCCAAATGGACTGGCAAATTGTCGATCCTGGCCTGACTTGCAATCTGGCGAGATCGACTGGCGACCCACACTTCAAGATGTATATATGTACTTCACAGCCGTCCTAACCGTAGCTAGACTCCGAATTTTAATGCCAGGTGCACGTGGCACGGTCGTTTCATCGAAAAAAACATTGTTTTTTTTTGATAAGATATGAGTCACAAATAACCCAAATATGTTTTGACAGCGCTTGAAGCTCAGTCAAAGGTCTCTTGAGTACTTTAGCTCGCTTCCCGCGATGACGTCACGGGTAGCCCGACCCTGAAATTGCAAGTTCAAACGTTTGTGGAAACGCAGGGATTTTATCAATCGAGATAACTTTTCGCTTACGTAAGTGGGGAAACTAGTATATTTCATTAAAGGAAATTATTTTGCGGCTCAGAGGCACTTTAACTTCGTTCCATAATTAGTCGGATTTCGTATGGAGGGGAACTGGTTAGTTTGAACCCTGTTCAGGTGCTTGTGATCTGTATACTCACTGGCCAATCAATGCATTTCTCCATCCAGTGTACAGATAGGAAAAGAACGATTTTTTCGGTGGTCTCAACGATATGAGAGGGTTTGTTCACGATCGTCAACGATCAAAATAGATTACAGGGGAGTACTGTTGGTGCAGGAATTTTTGTGTCGAATGTGCTTAACACTGTTAGAGCTACATTTTTGAAGATCAACTTATTTGCCAATATATAGCTGTTTGCTGAAGATCTGGAAAGAGTCGCTGGAGTCCCAGTTATCAGTTAATTTTTCAACGATTTCTCAGCTAATCCTTAGTAAATGTTTCAGAGGTCAAAGGACTCATCGTGTATCAGGTTACAGTTAAAATTCTCAGTTATCGTTTAAATACTTCAACCAGATCCTCTTGTTTGTTTTTATGTTCATTTTTTTTTTTCAGGGTGGGGACGTACAATCGGTGGAGGGAATGTGGCGGATGTATTGCAACAAGCAATGCTTCCAGTGGCGGATCACAAAACATGCCGTGAAAAAATGAAAGGGTTTACGGTCTACAAAGGACCTATGTTGTGTGCTGGAGGCCAGGGCAAAGGAGGTTGTCAGGTGAAAAAAATGTAGATTTACTTCTTGTGTAACAATCAAATTCCTGAAAATTAGGAAAAATTGATGTAAAATCTCTTTAACAGGACGCCATAATTTAGACCCACAACGGCAGTGTATGTTTATTCAACAACAACAGCACAAAACAATTCTTTATTTAAACACAATTTGGTTTAAAGCAATAAGTTTGCTTGTGGGGTCGTGCATCTAGCTAAAAAGTTTAAGAAAAACAGAAACATCTACAGTAATAATATGATAATTCTATGTTTATTCAAGAGTTGCAAGATGCGCAGGTCCCTTGCATAGTAATAGATTCAAAAGCCAAAATGTTTTTTGAGTATTTGTTATTTTCAAACCTTAGAATCTTGAAATCGATTCCCCTAAATTAATGAATTCGGTGGAAACTGTCGTAAGTTTTGCTGGACATCTCCACTGGCGACATGCTAAGCTCTCAATACGAACTAGCGTTCGTTCCCTTTATTATGTGCTTTTTAATTTGTTCGTTTCGGTCGGTCGTCGGTCGGTCGGTCGATCGGTCCTTGCGTTTGTCACTGAGTCTCTCCATCCGTACGTCTGTCCGTCCGTCCTTCCGTTTGTTGATTTGTTTGTTCGTTAGTTTGTTCAATCGTTCGCTGGTTGGTTCGTTCTGTATGTTGTTCATTCGTTCGTTTGTTTCCCCTTCGTCCGTTCGCCCGTTCGCCCGTTCGCCCGTTCGCCCGTTCGCCCGTTCGCCCGTTCGCCCGTTCGCCCGTTCGCCCGTTCGCCCGTTCGCCCGTTCGCCCGTTCGTCCGTTCGCCCGTGCGCCCGTCCGCCAGTTCGCTCGTTTGTTCGTTTGCTCGTTCGCTCGTTCGCTCGTTCGTTCATTCGTTCTTTCGCTCATTTGCTCACGAGCTCTGTATAATCGCCTTCTTTTGCATCTACTGAGGTTAAAAATATATTTGCCTTATTTTCTCTTTTAACCAATAGATTTGAGTATTTTTAAATTTCTTTGTTTTACATTGAAATTATGGAACATATTTACTCTTTCTTCTAGGGAGATAGCGGTGGACCTCTTTCTTGTAAAGAAAATGACAAATGGGTTTTGCGAGGTGTAGTCAGCTGGGGACACTACAATTGTGAAACGGATCACTTCACTGTGTTTGCTCGTGTCTCCAACTACACGAAGTGGATTGAGTCAAACACGATGTCCTGATTGGTAATAGTTTATAAGGTATGTTTATATAGCGTGCTCTTGACATGTCCCGGATGCCTAATCACCTGCATGACTGATAGTTCAACGAGTGATCCACGACGATTAACTTTAGAATAGTGAGAAATTTTTCATTTACTAACACTATAAAATAAGTCAATAGCTTGAAAAGTGAGGTAGCTAGTCACATAGGCGGATTTTTTAAATTCTCGTCTAATTTTTATTCCAGAAAGTCAAAAATTTCTGCTAGCTTAAGAGTCTTTTTGTATACGTTTGGCCGCTAAGAATTGACCCCGTGCTATGCCGGGATCTTGGATAAACTTAACTTAGTTTGGCTATACGATATTTCCCCTCAACTTATATTTAGATTAGCGCTTGGTTGAAAGTTCTTTTAACTTAACGAAGGAGCTTGTGTATAATTCACATTTAAATTTCGTAACTGTATATTGTTGTTGAATAGCTTTTTCGTTAAAAGTCACGTCGAAATGACAAAGTCTAATCTGGTTGTTTTAATAGTTTTTACGTTTCTTCCCAGGTCTTCCGGTTAGAAGCTTTCAGAACTGCTTGGTGTCGGCGGACATGGACGTAGAAGACAATAATATAAAAGGAGAAATAGCAGGGGAAACATTACTTTGGGAACTCTAAATTATCTGACTATAGTAAATGGAATGAATAAAAAGTTATCAACTTAAATTGAATAAACTGAGGTTAAGGCTAATAATGCTATCAGTTGTAACATTTTTATGTTGTTCATTTCGATAACTATTGCGCAGGGAATGTGGTTGAGCGCATGGGGAAATAAATGTGTGATCGCGGGTCCACGGCTCAAGTCATTATTTACCAAGCCAAGAATGACACATTTTTATTTTCCAAGAGCTTTATGTTTAAAGTGTGTCCCGTTTGTAGCCAATATAACAGACGTTCTGATTGGCAATTGTATCAACAATAGCCTCCATTTTTTCGCGAAAATATGCTCGGATATTTGTTATCCGTTCCGTGAGGCGAACAGTTCCCAAGAGCGTAGCTCGAGGAAAACTGTGAGCTCCGAGGAACAGATAATGTCCAAAGACAAATAACCGAGCATATTTTCACCCTAAATGGGGGGTATTGCGTTTATTTTCCTTCAAATCTTCTTCGCTACACGCGCAGTTTTGAAAATTGGAGAATATCACTCGTAAATTCCCCAGTTTTAGCTGGGGCATATTCGGTCACGTGGTGCGTTTAGACCAATCACGCGCGAGAGAAAATATTTGATGGCTTATAAAGGTCTTTTTTTATTTTTTTTCGCCTTGCCGTGTCGACCTCCTTACTCAGGTCCGTACGAAAAGGTTCGGCCTTGGTCTCAGATTTCCCCTTAAAGATCTCACTTTCGGTTAATGAGTAGTTAATCTAAAAACTACGGAACTCGTGCTCAAAAGCAAATGACAACTTATCGTCGGCTGAACTCATAGCTATTACTAAAAAGAATAACAAAACATCGTATCACCTGTCACCTGTCTACAACCCACCTGCCATACTGTTGTTCAGACCGATTCTGACATAGCGTCGACAATAGGAACTTGACATAACAACGAAAAAGGAAATTACACTGTAAAGATACCCTTTTACCGAACGTTTTCTTAAATTGAGCTGCAAGAGAAACAACAATTCAAAAAACAATAACGGAGAAAGCTGGTTGAGACGAAATTCAGTAGTCTAAGTTTCTTTAATGGCCTCATTCACGCAAATGGGCTTTGCAGCTGATACAATCATTGTCCTGTCATCAGCATTGAAACTTAAACATGTCTTGCAGAGGGGAAGTAGTCATTTAAGTGGTTCCTTTTCCAAGTGTATGTACAGTATACCGTTGACAAGAGGACCCATTTAGACAAGTTTAACTGAGGAAAAATACCAAAAAATAATGTTCTGATTCTGACATAGCGTCGACAATAGGCACTTGACATAACAACGAAACAGGAAATTACACTGTAAAGATGTCCTTTTACCAAACGTTTTCTTAAATTGAGCTGCAAGAGAAACAACAATTCAAAAAACAATAACGGAGTAAGCTGGTTGAGACGAAATTCAGTAGTCTAAGTTTCTTTAATGGCCTGATTCGCGCAAATGGGTCTTTGCAGCTGAGACAATCTTTGTCCTGTCATCAGCACTGAAACTTCAACATGTCTTGCAGAGGGGAAGTAGTCATTTAAGTGGTTCCTTTTCCAAGTGTATGTACAGTATACCGTTGACAAGAAGACCCATTTAGACAAGTTTAACTGAGAAAAAATACAAAAAAATAACGTTCTTCTCAATTAATGGTGTTGTTTTAAGACCCATAAAGGTTTAGGAAGAAAGTGGTTATGGTAATGACTGAGAAAATAGGCAAGTATTCGAAAGTCCAAATACATTATTCCGAATTCATTCTCAATAGCATTCCGTTTATAAATGCGCTGAGATACATAATTTAAGGTAAAAACCTGAGATGGTGAAATTGGGCGCGTTAACTGTCGGCTGTATCAACGACTTATAAAAGCTTGAGGAGAACGATTAACGGCTAAATCGCTGTAAACAAACAATGTTGATATTTGTTGTTTCTCGGACTAATGCACGAAACATTTAAGTAATAATAACGTTTGTACACATTTGACCACACTGTTGAAACGACGTTGAAATATTTTGCGTTCGTTGCGTTGGTTTGTTTGCGTTGCCTGAGTCATTACGTACCTTAGGCCGGACCTTTACTCAGCTGTAATTGTACATTAACGTCATTTTAACATTCGAATACCTTTGAGTAACTCTTTTCAGTGAGCTTAAAAGTTCTATATCGTTTATAAGCGTTGCGAATCGACTAGCATTACTGTTTTGAAAGAAATGACACGGGAACCTAGTGAATTTTCTCGTCTATCTCACATTTTTAGAATTGAAACGTGCAGCAATTCACTTGAGTAAAAATCTTGAACATGCTCTAATATTTACAAACCAGATGGCTCAATTTTACGTAGTAGGGTACTTTTAATTACACAATAGATGCAGTCAGTATTTTTGTTTGGTAATCTTGTTTCAGATGGTTTTTTACATTTCTTGTTTCAAATAAAATGAAAAAGGCAGTATTATCCGAAGCAGAATGGATTTATTATGATTAAAATGCTCTATTTCGTACGTGCCTACCATTTTATTCTAGTAGACGACTTCCTACGTATCAAGTGACTTGTGCCAAACGACAATTACAAAAGTTTACAGTCCTTTTGTTGTGGCCATTAAAAAAAGGCAAGACCATTAAACATGTTCAGAGTCTTTTAGCAAGTTTGTTTGCTGAAGTAAAAGAAGATAAATAAATCTGAGTCTATAAAAGATTAATACCTTGTTTAGTTGGGTGCAGTTTGAATGCTCTTTCACTCGGCACAAGATGTTGAAGACTTTGGGATTACTGGCAGTTTTACTCGTTCCACTTCCATCGCTTACCAAAGGTAAGAAGGTGAAGGGTTTGTGCTTTCTAATATAAGAGGACCTAAATATGAGCGACCAAAAGTAAGACGGATCATTAATTGTTTCCATGTGACCCATGTACAAATCAAATCTCGATACACAACACTATACCAGGAAGACAGAGCTCTAGGAAGAAAAAGGCTAATATAATGCCAAAAGACTAAAGACACAATTAGCAACATTTGTCCGTTTTTGTTAAAAAATAAGGATGTTGTTTTTTTCAATAGCACAAAGCCTTGTGCGTGTTTCTTAATTTCCAATATGTATGGGATATTCCATGCAAAAAGAAGGAGAAGTTAAAATTTTCCAAAAAAAAATGCACTTATGTTATATGTAGGAGTATTGCAAAAATATAAAGATTTTTATAAAAATTTGTACAATATAGATGGCCGTCGTCAATAGTAACTATTCGACCGCCGGGGATTGCTTGAGTATCCTCACGACCCTAATTTGTGAAACTGAAAAGACAGTTCTTACACTAACATATTGGAGGCGTTCATTATCAACTATTTTGAATAAAAAGAAATTAAGATCATGAAACAAGTCAAAGAATTCGCTGCATGCGCACGTATATACCTTGATTATCCTAAAGACGCGTTCTTTACAGCATTCAAATAAAAATATTTCAATGAGTGCCCATGAGTAAAAAGGAAAAGGGTACCCTTTGAATCATACTCTAGTGTATCTAATTCCAAGCCAAAACGATTTCAAACCTAGATTTCAAATCTACTACTAAAAGCGCATTACATTCATGTATCTATCCAACTTTCTTGGCTCTTGATACTATTTCACCGAACATTGTTTCCATGTAGGCCAGGCATATGCAAACATAATTTGGAAACACGACACCGTACTAGAAAGAAAATTAAAAAAAGAGAGGAACAGCCAGAATTTCTCAGAGCGAAGAAGGAACTGCTTGGAGCAAAAAAGACCACGACCAGCGTGATTGCAAACGACGAAACATCAAAAGTCTACACCATATGATGAGCAACATTTGTGTGCTTTAGTTTCAAATTATAATGTTTTCAGTTTCAATACTCCATGAACAAAAAAGGACGAAGGAGTTAAAATTTTCTATAAAATTTTTTCTTGAATATTGCAAAACTATAAGATATTAAAACTAAAGTTCACTTAGCCCTTTTTTGTGCAATATAGACGGCCGATTTAGTAACCCCCGCAATCAGAAAGAGGACGTGTAATTTGGAAGCAAAGCTTTATTTGTATTGAAATATGTTAGGCGTTCAATAAAACAGACTTTGATCTGTAATTATCAGTTATTTTAGTCGAAAAGAACTAAACATTGTGAAGCAATTTAAAGAATTCGCTGCATGTGCAGGTAGCTAACTTTTTCTAAAGACGCGTTCTTTATAACGCGATTCAAATAAAAATATCTCAGAGCAGAATTTTTCCTTTACTGAGACACACTATTGTCAACCGAATGCCAGCTTGAGTTATGCTCGCTCAGGAGAAAAAGGTCGTTCATTTCTTTTTCGAGCTTCGCTTCACGTAAATTTGCATAGACTGGACGTTCTCGTGGGAGCGCCTAGGGCGGAAAATATTACGCCCAGTAGAGATCCGCAATGCAACCCAATGGCATTACTTTTAAAAAAAATCAACAGTCCATATAGAAATATCTAACTAAGAAAAGCTTAAAGCTCAACTCAGATAAATTGTGAAATAAAGAGCAAGTAATATTTCATATGGGAAGCAATAATTCCTTTTTGATGAAGTTACTTTTTTTAATTAAAACAGCCGAATGTGGAAAGCGCGTCGCTCAGTCGTCCCGCGTGGTAAACGGTGAAGAAGCCACACCCAATTCGTGGCCGTGGCAGATTTCTCTCCGCTACCGAGATTACCCAGACGTCAATGCTTACGGTCACATTTGTGGAGGATCACTAATTGAGAATGACTTGGTTTTGACAGCCGCTCACTGTGTAGAGTTTCAGCCCGATCCTGCTGTATTTAAAGTCATTGTTGGTAAGTTTATCACATAGCTGCTTCGGGGATGTGGATGGACCATTGTCTATTGTTATTTCCCTTTCCTTCGAACGACTTCAATTTTTCTCTTTCTCTTCTTCTGACACTTCCTTCCTTCCTTTCCAACCGCTCTCCTCCCC